ATTGTTGTTGCGTTGGCACCATGCTTGTTTTCAAGCCGGTGGTAAATATATATATATACTCTTGTCGGGTTCTATTTACCCGACTAGGTTCTCCAGAAGAGGTGAATGAACCAACCAACCGGCTCATCTGGTACAATACTACTGCCCCGCGGTTCGCGCTTTGTTGTGCAAAGACTAGAATGCACTCTCAAAGAGGGCTTACTCTGGGTTGGGCAACCGAGTAATACAAGAGCCCACAACGCACAAAATAAAATATAAAATCTGTTATCTAGGAATTCGCAACCGCAGCTTTCCTCATTAAGCGAAAATCGTTCTGGGCCGTACATATCTTCCTGTTTTCCAATTTATCCTCCCCCTACATATACCACATTCAAATATTTCCACTTTCATCGGAGTCTTCATACAGTCGTACCAACAGTTGTGTCTTAGATGGAAATCCTGCCTCTGTTCTCTCGCGTTTTACCTCGAATAGGGTCCAACTTTCACCAAATCATTCTCCACCGACTGAAACTCTTCTTCCTCTTCGATACCCTTCCAAACTAGCCACATCCAACATTCGCACTCTGATGCATATAGGACTACAGGCATGTTTACCTCGTACCCTCGAGACCATAGCCATAGATGAGTGTTGTGTCATAGAATCTCGCATTGGACTCTCCAGCTCCACCGTCCGATTGAGGTCCCGATCAAACCCATCTGCGCAGTTTCGTTTACGCCTTTCTGGCTGGGTTTCGCGCCCGTTGTGTATACGCCGATCAAATCTCCACCCTTCGACAGTTGCTAGAGCATCGTTATGCCTATCAAAGACCAACGATCATTTTGTTCTCAGACATTCGCGCGACCATGACTCTGTCGATACGACCGCACTATAGAACTGTTTGATGAGGAATGGAGTACCGGGTAAGTATGTCTGTTGAGACGAAGATTATTGCTATTCGTCCCAAGATAAGCCCGGCTGCATGCTTGTTAATTCTGTGAAAAAAGTATAACGGATTTGGCCCTAATTATAATCATTTCAGATCAATACTAATCTCACGGAGAATAATCAATAATATTGCGTCTTACGGAAATTTTCACTCTGTCCGTCCGTCTGATTTGTGGCCTATGACCGGTTGAACTTTGCTTACTGCGTAATTGATTGGTACAATATTCTTGCATTGATCGATGGTATTTGGAATCACATATAAGCATCATAGTAAAACTTGTAAATTGACTTGTGTTGAACGCCACTGAAAACCCGTGTTGCTGAAGCCGTGCCTTCCCTCTCGTGTTTTGGGAGGTCTGAGAGATCGATAGCCGACCGTGCGTCCTGTGTTTCGCCCAGGTAGCTTCCGCTCGTAGGACTATCATCCGTTCACGGACCTAGTGCTAGTCCGCTGTTCTCGTGTGCTACTAGTGTCACTATGCTATATCTTGTGTTCTTTGCACTTGTGGTGTTCACCTGTGATATGGTGCTGTGCGACATCACACTAGGCAACGAATACAAGCGGCGTAAAACAAAACAGTGTCGATCCTCAAGGAGTTATATCGCCATACCTCGGGTCGGGTTAGGGCCTATGGCCAGTTTTCGCCACCCTTTGCTGTCTCCATTGGAGTGTGACAAGGGTGCTCTGTATCCTCATTCCTCTTCAACTTTGTCATAGAGGATGTTCTACATAACTATTTTTCGGTCTAGTAAACACTGGAGTAGAAGTCCTCCCAGAGAACAGAGTCCTTAACTTAGAATATACCGATGAAACCGCCTTGTTGGGTGACAATGCATGGGCAGTCCGACACGCTTCAAACCACATGGCGATAGATGTACCCTGATATGGTATGTGCTTTGCATCATCCAGGTGTATAGTGCATGTACAAGACAGGCAGGAGCCTGCGTCTGCACTCACCCTTCCGATGATCAGATAGAAGTAATCAAGAGCACGATCGTAGTTGGATTTGGTGTTCGGACGGAGACGGAGGACTTGCTTTCCGTGCTCTCTTTGCACGTGCCGGGCAAGGCTGGAAGAAGCGGCGCGGCGGTCAGACCATGACATGGTCTAGAGGCANGATGTGGCGCAGAATAGAAGTCAGTGGCGAGAATGCTGTACGGTCTGTCTATCGAAATCCCGTGCCCCTTAAGAAAAAACGAAACATCAAACAACAAAAAATTTGCAAAAGGTGTACGGTGAAACACACAAAAAATTCTGTTATCTTGTATTTTCCATGTTTAACCATGTTCTGTATCTTAATCCACCTATTCCCTTTCACTGTCATTGTTGTTGCGTTGGCACCATGCTTGTTTTCAAGCCGGTGGTAAATATATATATATATATATATATATTCGGAAGGAGATCATATCACGANTGCCTACCTGCAACACCCATGGCCCCATCATGATATCTTTTTGTCCCTTTAGAGAAGGGTTTACATCGCCACGGTCCGCAGTGTTCTACTTTCCAGTTGCGAGACCTGGCCCCTCTGCGTTGAGGATGCTAATCGGCTTTATCTTTTCGTCCACTGATGTCTCCAAAGCATTGCTCGTGTCTGATGGGAACATCGGGTGAGCAATGACGAGGTTCGTCGTGTGCCGGATGTGGATGGTCGCTCTCTAACAGAAGTTATCGCTCTACACCGCCTCCGATGGCTTGGTCACGTATTGCGTATGTCTGTCCACCAACTACTTTCCGTATGCTGGAAGAAGCGGCGCGGCGATCAGACCATTACACGGTGTAGAGGAAGAAGAAGCAGGCCTCAGCTGGTGCAGCCCGCCTTCCAGGTTGGGGCCCAAAGGATTAGGATTGTCGTTGGCTAGAGACGCTAAGAGATATAATCCAGAAGTAGCTCAATTGGTGTGTGGTTAGATTGTTGAAATACCGTAATGGACCAAAAAAACTTCCAAACTGTTCAGTGAAACTGTAATATCTATTCACTAATTTGTTCTCCCTGTTCTCAGTTTTCTTAATCTCCGTACCCCTTTCTACCATTATTATCCTCCTTTTGGCATTGCATCATGCTTGTTCTCAAGTCGGTGGGAGATATATGACACAAAACAAAGAGGCACCGAATAGCCGAATCCATTCCGACGCAACCAAGAAAGCGATGAACGACAAATTCGAACTGTTACATTATCGAACGGACAGATCAAGGATCACGCAGTACCTACATGGAAATAAATACTTTGTCATTCACAACAGAAAATTACAGTGATATGCCGATACTCTGGCTATTCAGAATTAAAAACGTGATCTGTGTAAACTTGACCGCTTGCTCACATCATGCGTTTTGTTATCCTTTGTAATTAGTAATCTTATCTTCATACTAAAAACCACTGACCTAGGAGATGCTACCGATCGGAACGGCCACAGCGACTTGGTTTGTGTTTGAACGAATGCGAACCAATTAGCGCCGCCAAAGAGAATGCCAGTACCCGAGTCAAAGGAAGAGAAAACGAAAGCAAACTGGAAGTCAACAACAGAGCCTAACCAACCGAACCAGATCTGAGCCAAGCAATCGCATGTGGGTTAGATCGAACGTGTCATTAAGCAAAAATGATGTACAAGCAACAGGATCTGCGACCGGCTTATGTTTGTGCTCCGTCAACCCGAGTGATGAGCCAACCAATAGTAGATGCGTGGATAACGCGGTATCGCTGGGGAGGACTAAGCCGTTGAGCGAGGTGCGCCACAGTCAACGGTACTCGCTGGTACGTACAGGATATGCGGTGCGCCACACTGTACATGGTACTATTTATAGTTTACACTTCGAAAACAGCGTGATCCTGATGTCAGAAACTGTGCCACTATTTAGCGGTGGATTCAGAAATAAAAGACATCATAAGTCGTCTATGCAAGAGTCTGATAACATTTTTCAGGCAGTGTCGTTTGCCGAGAGGAGACTACTTTGTTCACACTCGCCAATAATGTTGAGGCCGATGAAATCGGTTCACTTGATGGCATAGTATATTGACTTAATGAATATGTCAAGTGGATTTGTTTAAGTCGAAAAGACAAAGGCTGTTTAACTCGCCCGATTTCATCCGGGCATTTATTCTCTTTGTGTTGCACCGTGAATTAGCGCAGCACAAGGCTATTCATTTGTGTGGTGACATGGGTCCTGATGATTTCGGATTTTGTGTCAATTAATATCGCGTAAACACATGAGAATCAACGTCTGCCAGGGTCGATGGTTAGTAGACTGCCTGGATTGGATAAAACAAACCCTCGGATCCAAGCATGAGCGAAAAACCCACAGCATATCGTTGGAATCACCTAACGGAACGCACCTATTGGAAAAACTGACGCAAGTCTTGTAAACTTGCCTTTCCGGAACTAGTAGCAAATCATGTCCGATTAACATTACTCTCAGTGCTTCCCAGATCAACAACAACAAAAACAACGGGTCTGGACGAAATAAGAACCAGGAATAAATTGAAGGACGACCACAAGTAAATTCATTGGCCCAAATGAGAAGTGATTCGGTTGTGATAGCGGTGGCGGTGCGAGTGGATGTAACAAGTGAGCAGATAAGTGTATGTATGTGGAGGGGGAGGGAGAATGGACAAAACAAAAAACTGGCACCAAAAAGAAAAGTTAGGTGCAAAATAGGTACCGGTGAGTGATGCGAGCATGAACAGGAGAGAAGAATGGTATGGATAATCTGAGGAAAGCAAACATGGATTCCATAAAACCATTTTGATGCACAGGAGAACCGGTTTGAGAAACCGCTGGTGTCAGTGCCTTTTTACACATAATAGACTGCCGCGGAGACCACCGATAAATATTCTTCCAATTGTTCTTCCGTAAATTTGTGGCGCTGCTCATGCCAGTTATCTTGGTGATTGCGCGAATAGGCGGCTAAAGTGTCTGACACGGTTTTTCCAATTGGCTGAGGATCGTGCACATGACCGGCCAGCTCTGTGATAACCTGAGGTAAATAGTCCGGTGTCGTATGCGGATGAGCGTGTACAAATGCGGCTAACCCCAGTACACCCGCATGTCGTTCACGAATGGCTTTGTGGTACTCTCCCATCAGTGGAGTTCCTTGCGCGTTTGGTGCGAGGTTTCGTGGGTAGCGCGTTTTCGCCTGACGCATAAGTTGTGCAACCCATTGGGGATCAAACTAGATGAGGGGATGGAAGCAATCACGTAAATAAGGATAGGGTTTAAATACTTTTGAATAAACAGATACCGTGAAAATAATTTCAGCCTTCAGTGATTTTTCAGTATCGATAAAAAACAAATTTAGCGGAAGTTATTCACAAAACAGGTTTTAGTAACACAGCTTACGCAGTAATGACTGATGCGATGCGGAGGTTGATATACACGAATTGCACACCTTGAACCAACCGAAGGCGTGCGAAAACAAGACATCTAGTTCGAAAAAAAACATTTACCAGAGTTTCAGTGCGAAGCACGGTTATCGAATAACAAAATACAGCTAACCGGACCTTACTGCCTAGATCAAAACGTGTACAAAGTAAATATGAAAGGTTTTTATAATTAGATGGACGCCCTTCGCGGTTGAGCAAAAACGAAGTGAACCAATGCGACTTTTTTATGTTCAAATGTCAAGCGCATGGTGCGTGGGATCCGATACGAGTCACTGCAGTGGAGGTCTTTATTGAGCTGGTCGAGGAGTTACGTGCTTCAGCATGGTACAGTTGTTTCACCAAATGGTTTGCGCGCATGGAACTGTGTGAACGCTGATGGAGAACAGCGAAATACAGTGAAGCGAACTTACTGATCGTTGCCAAACTCGCAATGCATACACAATTAGTGGCAAAATATAAGGTGGACAGGGATTGGACCAACTTTGAGGGACGGGGAAGAAGGTAAACCACTATGGTCAACACAGAGTGCATAATCGCACTCTGCATACATATCGTTTAAAGCGTTCTAGCCTGATAAGAAATGACAACAAGAACGCCACTGCTGTCCGTTCGCTGCCATATTCATTCAATGTTTCCAACCAATCGGTTGTGGACTCTTTCAGACCTCAACCTGGAAGGCGAGAGACACCTACTCTACCTAATGGTTCTGTGCATTTTTTCATGTCTCGTCTCCACGTCATCTATTGACCTCCACGTGGTTTCCTCCAGCCCGGATTAGCTACAGCGAATAAAGCGCGGTGCGGCAGACGACAGCTGGGCATACGCAATACGTGCCCTAGTCAGCAAAGTCTACTAATCTGAATTCGATGTGCTAGCAGGTTTATACTTGATAGACTCTCAAACACGACGACTTACTTCTGCGTTACTAACCCATTCGCTCCATCCCACATGGACTAAACTACGTAAATACTAATAATCGAAAACTTCTAGTCGACGGATATCTTCTACTCGCAAATTCAAGATCTTACAACCATAAAGCAGAAATGAACGAACGCTAGCGCAATATACACGACCTTTCAACTTCAGTGAAACGTCGCGTCTACGCCAAAGGTGGTTCAGTCCTGCATATGCTGCTCGAACCTTGGAAACGCGGGCGGTTACCCCCTTTGCTGCGCTACCGTCATTGGTCACGCAGCTACCCAAGTAGAAAAAACAATCCACCGTAACTAATTCCTGACCATTTAGTTTCAGAGCGGGAGTAGGCGAACCCCAGTCCTGCAGCATCACTTTGCACTTTGAAGGTGCAAATCACATACCGACAACCATTTCGGTTAAGTACTAACAAAGCTTTCGGCGCGTGACTCGGCGTTATGGTGTGCACGAGAGAGGATGCCGTGTTCATCAGTTCAGGCTGAATGAAGAAATGAATTGAACGCTTCTGTGCTCGTAGTTCAGTGGGTCAGATATCTAATAAAGACAGCTCCGATCATGAACCCTGGCAACTGACTTCGAATGTTTCATTAGGATGGTTACTACCTACCAACGGGTGAGAATCCACTCGAGATTGGTCCAGAACCACTGGGACTCAACTGTACCCACGTGACGAAAATGCGATCTCCGGTAGAACCGAACTGGAACACACACACAGTTGGACGTCCTAAATTGTATCTTCGCATGTAAGTTGTAACATCATGATAGCGCATAACTGAAAGCCGTTGTTTGCCTCGAATGGTTTTTATGAGCATATTCCAAAAAGGAACGTGGAAGAATCACAGTAGTTTCTCTGGGGGGTTTGCGATGTCGAACTACCTAGAGTGAACTTACGGGAACCAATCCAACCTGAATAAACACGGCTAGTGTGCACATGGCAAGCTGACGCACTTCGATCCAATTATCCGCGAGATAAGTCGACAGAGTGTCACGCAAGCTGCTGACCACTGTGTCGAACATCTTCGGATTGACATGCGTGTTTCGAGCGGTCCAAAAAGCCGGCAGATTAACAACAACCAGGTTTCGCAGCAGTAACAGACCCACACCACGGGTCTTCCATGA